ATTGAATGTTGCCTCTAACCCCTCTTTACCGTAATAATATACGACACGGCTCTGTTTATTTATTAGGTTCGTCAAGTTAATGTAAGTAGAGCAGAAACAGAGTCGGACCAAGAATAATTCCGTGGGGAACTCCGTGGTGTACATGGTCGTCCTCTCTAACCAATGTTGCCATTTTTACAGATTGAGATCGGCTGTATAGGTAGGTAACTCTTCGCCGGAGGTCGCAGAATGACCTCCGTCCACCATAAGCGCAGGCCTACGGGTGACAGTTGAGGCCATCTGTGGGGGGGGGTCGTCTACTCGTCTGTAGATGGCCCGAGGTATGTCGGGGCACCAGGGACTTCCTTTCTAGGGTATACCTGGTTCCCCGGCTATTAGTACCCGAGACGGCGTGCGGTTTTAGTCGGTTCGAGTCCGACATGCCACCGATAGGTGGTATCCTAGGGGATTTCCGCACGAAAAAAAAAAAAAGGTAGGTAACTATTAAATATGTCCTGGACAATGTCACGAATGCGAACATTTTGTGTTTAATTATCGATTACGTCAGTGACAATAATGTTTTGAGTCACTTGAGTGATGGTAAAGAGGACGGCTCATTGCGGCCGAGTGAGCGACGACCGAATGATATGATATTCAACTATCTTCAGTCCATAACATTAATAAGCGCGAAGTTTTCTCGGACGTTGCGAGGACGAATCACTCAAGTCGTATGTATTAGTATTAGTATTATAATAGTTGGATTAAGTATCAAGAGCGCCCTAGGCAAGCGTCTCATCAGCGCCTCCTACATCTCTCTATCGTCCGTCCATACTATGCGAGCTTGTACTATTAAAGCTACTAGTTCACGTTACTCAATGTGTGATAGTGGTTACTCCTAATTTGAGTTGGCATTTTTTTACTATAACTTTTTTTTACCTGTGGATATAGGCTGTCAATCCACCGGGGTTTTCGTGGGCGGTATATCGGAATCGAACCAACTAAAATCATACGGTGTGTAAACCGCCTAAAATAGGAGATTACCGCAGATCCCTCAGGTGGACCCCTCCGAGGCTCTTGAAAGCACAATGCCTGGAGGCCTGGATCTCGGGTTGTCTCTGCTCAAAACTGTGCAGAGATACCCCGAGATCCAGCCGCCGGACCCTTACGGTGATACCAGCCAAGAAGGCATCGTGAAGCGTCCGCTATCCGAGGACGGCACTACCTCGCGGTAGTCCTTCGTGGCGAGTGGATGGGAAAACGCAGTCACCTGACACTCAGGGGCATGAGGCGCTGGAAGGCGAGTTTGGGCATGGGCTGGGCGGAGTCCCAGTCGACCGCGCAGTGCTGGCATTGTGCCGTCTCCTCACGTCCAATCCGATTCAGATACTCACCGAAGCAGCCATGCCCAGTGAGCACCTGCGCCAGTCGGTAGGTGACGCGACCTCCCTCCCTTACTACACAAGCTTCGATGTTAGGCAAAGCGGCACCGACAGCGCGTGGCGCGCATTCCGCGGCTATTTCAACCGCATCTCGGGCTTGTCCTAGTCTTCCCCGCTCTTAAACCGGCGTCCATATCCATATTGACGGGCCTGTTGACCTAGTGGTTAATGACCCTGACTGTTAAGCCGGAGGTCGTGGGTTCGATTCCCACCCAGGACAAATAATTGTGAGATGAGCACGAGCATTTGTTCTGTGTCTAGGTGTAATTTATCAATATTATGTATGTATTTAGAAATATATAAGTATGTTTATTAGCGGTCTGGTTACCATAGTACAGGCTCTGTCTAGTTTGGGCTCAGACGGCCGTGTGTGAGATATGTCAAGTTATTATTATTATTATTACTGTCCATACACATACACATAAGCTCCAGGACTTCCTGGAAGTCATACCCCCCAGCCAGTACCAGAGTGTCGTCCGCGTAGCAAACAACACTCAATCCTGGGGAAGACTGGTTCTCAACACCGCATCATACGCGACTTTCCACAGAAGGGGTCCTAAGTCCGACCCCCTTTTTTTTTCCGTGCGGAAATCCCCTCGGATACCACCTATCGGTGGCATGTTGGACTCGAACCGACTAAAACCGCACGCCGTCTCGGGTACTAATAGCCGGGGAACCAGTATACCCTAGAAAGGAAGTCCCTGGTGCCCCGACATAACTAAGACCGACCCCTTGGGAACTCCGCATGTGACCTCCCTTCGACATTGTTGTCTGATAAGTAGGGGCCCACTCGCCACAGGCACTGGTTGATACGGGTGGCAATAACTCTTTCGAAGAGTTTCAACGCATTGTCCATCAGGTATATCAGGGATCAGGGAACGCCGAGGGAGAATCTACAGCCCTGCCAGGTTTCTAGATTAGTACCAGTCTGGCTTCCTTCCAGCTGAAAGGGAATATGCTATTACGGAAGCAGCTGGGAAAGAGGCGCCTCAGCCTTTTCCCTAGGACCACTAAAGCGCACACCCATGGTCGACCAGGGATACCATCAAAGCCCGGGCGGTGTTGCGGGCAGCGAGTCGCTTTGCGGCACGGTCCAGCTCTTCTTCCGTCACATCGAAGTCGTCGGAACACGTAAGCGGTTCCGACGGTGGCGGAGGGCATGAGGAACTACCCTGGTTCCTGGGGAAGAGGGTATCTCCCACTCTTTCTACAAACTTCCGGTCCAAGGTCTTCGTCAGTGGTTGGACCCAATACATTTTTGTACGGGCGCCCCCAAAGGATCCTTGTCCAGTCCCTCTACGAGCTCCTTCCAGGACCAAGCCTTAGCTTTCGCGATCGCGAGGCTGACATCCTTCGTAGCGGCGCCGTACACCCGCCTTACTTCGGCGATCTCCTCGGCTGTGGCTCGCCGTCGATAAAAGTAGACTCTAAGAAGTACTTATTTCACCGCAGACGAAAGTATAGACACTGATCAAATAGTCCTTCGCTAACGCTTCCTTTTTAAAAAAAACGTTAAACGATTTCAAACAACAAAAGGTACAAAAAAATTAAAAAAGCCGTAATTACAAACCCAATTGAACCGACTAAAGTAAGCGCGTCTCTCTATATGACAGGTAACATTATAATAGCAATAGATACCTTCTACTCTGGCAGAAGTCGCGCATAAAAGAGGACTGCCCTCGATTTCATTCTTTGCCATTACATCATCGAATTTGGACTTGGTGATATTGGAACCCCGTGGGGAGTATACCATTTCGATTACAAAAATAACTATGCACATCGGTTCAACATTGACGGCCCAAACAAACAAAAACATACAGTCGAATTGAAAACCTCCTCTTTATTTTTGAAGTCGGTTAAAGATTACGTACATAACATAATTAGAACAAAGTAACGCATGGAAATACCAGAGCTTATCAGTTCTATTTACGGAATTCACGTTTCGGGAAATCCGAGCGGGTTTACCCCGAAATGTGAACAAGGTAACACGAGGGAACCGCTTGCTATCTACAGGATGCTCAAACTCTGTATGTTGGAGCCGTGAGAAAACATGAAGAATTCAAACTTGGTCTGTTGGGACAGGGCGGACAAGAGAGCTTGTGCTCCGAGGCTTCTCTTGTAGTAATAGCCAGTGTAGCTCCATCTATGTGCAAAACAACTGACGTATCCCGTGCGTACTTAACTCACTTAGACAAGTGCTCCTGCTTACAACGAAGGGACGTGTAAATATTTTTAACCGCAAAAGCGACGGGGTGTTATAAGTTTGACGTGTCTGTGTGTGTGTGTGTGTGTGCGTGTCTGTCTGTCTCTGGCATCGGAGCTCCCGAACGGATGAACCGATTTTGGTTTTGATTTTTTTTTGTTTGAAAAATGAAATAGTCGTGAGTGTGTTTATTTAGTGTGATTTTCATCAAACATAGCTGAGAAGCTATGTTTGATGAAAATCTCTCCAAGATGGCCGCCGCCACAAAATGGCGGATTATATATATGAAAGAGCTTGACTAGTAGAATACTACCTATACACTATGATAAATTTCAAATCCAAGTTGTGTGTCGGGGGTTTTTATAATTTGTTATTTAATTTTATCTCGTTTGCATGGGACGTCGCAATAAATAAAAATTCAATTCAATTTAATTTGCAACTAGCTTCCACCTGTAACTTCGCCCGCGTGGATTTCGGTAACCGTGCCTCTTTTTCGCTCGGTTTATATAGCATAAGATTTTTTTCGACCTCTTCAACAATAATCGTTATATTTCAATCAATTTACATAAAACCATCATGAATTACCTATACACCTAAACCTTCCTCAGGAATCACACTATCCATTGGTAATCAATTGGCAGTCCTCTTGGACCAGTCACTTGGAGTCCCTCCCGCGGAGAATCTTACAGCATGCAGAAATGTACAATAATTATAATAGAAACAAAATAATATTTAGGTATTTCAATGTTCTAAATAATACAACAATTAAATAATAAAGTTAAATAATACAAAATAAATAATGCCTTACGTTACGTTACCCGTAGGTACGTTTTAGTTATTTATAAGTTGATAATATGACTATTTGAATATTTTTATAAACATGTACTCAATTCTTTTTTTTTCAGCGTAGTAGTGAGCGTTAAACCACTACGCCATCCGTGCAGTCATAACATAAAGCGTTAAATTAAACGTTATTTATTTATTTCATTAATTTACACAACTTTATGACTTATGCGCAGTTCTTCTACTCTGTGTGTTATTAAGACCCAATTACTTAATCATCTTCGCTACAAAATTATATTTAGGTGACCCAGACGGACATCGCGTGCTCAGTTGTTTCAGAAACTTTCGCAAAATAAAAACTTCTATTGTCTATTGTAGCCACATCAACGGCACCGTCAACACAAGGGATGAAACACTATTGCAACATGTACACACCTTGTCTCGAGGCCTGCGCTTGACACAAGTCTTAATGTGAACAACCTATATAGCATGTTTATAATGTATGGGAAGTAACGGCTGGGTTATCGGCGGCGCAAACCGCGATAGCCACCGTGGATATAGACGCATGGCGCGCCAGCCTCAAACATTATTTCATCATGCGAGGTGCAATGCTGCTGTTGGCGGTCATTATCGCAGTGACAAGCGGCAGCAGATCCGTTCGAGGAGAGTGCTGTTACCCAACGTACATACAATGGTCCGCAGACAACTGTTGGCCGTTCCGAAGCCAGTCTCAAATGGCTGACAACATTGAAAGGGACCTCGTTGCTAGCCTGATGCTGCCGACGCGCTGTGAAGCGAAGGTGTGTAACGATGGACGCGTTCACCCAGGGGCCTACTGTGGCAGAGGAAGATGTAACCTGTTCGGATGCAATTGTGAAGGTGGATGCATTCCTGGTGAGCCGGTGCTCAATTTTAGACGATTGAACGGCATACCAGACGACAAGAGTTTCAAATGATCTAACGTCTCCCGAAACTGTTAAAGTCGCCGTGACGCTAAACTCGCCCACAACAACGCTGTGACAACACCAAAGCCGAGCACAACGAGCCACGTTCAACGCGCCGCAGACGAGTGCAAGCCTGGGTCCTGGGTTTTTATTATAATAATTCGAGGATTGACATTTAAATAATTAATTTAATTTTCATAATTTATTTGTAAAGACCAAATGAAAAGTAATTAATGAATTAATGATAAGTAAATAATTGACCTGTATTACTATATATAACTGACATTGCATTAATTTAATTTAATAAATTATTTTCATTTAACTTTATAATGTTTTTAACTTTATAATTGATTCTGATTGTGATAAACTACACTGTAATTTTTGCATACCTTAGATAGAAGCACTTGAAACACGTAATTTTCTAACACAATTGTAACAGTGTTTTCTGCAAAAATAACTAATTTGAATTTGGGTGGAGCTACCAGTCTTAAGCAGTATCTTCACTGTAGTGTTATACCATTGTACTCGGTTTTATTTCATATCTCTCATTTTTACAAACTCTATGTCGGACATAGAGAGCCAGCGTGGTATAGTAGGCCAAAACCTTCTTTCTAAGGAGAGGCCTATGTCCAGCAGTGGACTATTAAAGGCTGCTGATGTGATGTCGGGCATAGCGCACGAAGAGCCTTTCTCAACGTAAATGTGTGAATGTAAATTGCCCTCCTTTGAGCCCCTCCCCTTCCCCTCCTTACTAACTCGGTGAAAAGCAACAATACAATGGCTCAACAGCGGATTGCTATAGAGCCATTAGCCCGCCGTCATCACTTCGGGCACGTACGTCATACTTCGGGTGCTGGTGTTCAGCACAGCTGTTGGTTTGCCCCAGACACAGTCTGTTACATTCGTGGTGTTGAGCCCGTCGAGGGCACACTCTCCTGGGTTGGACATAATGCGGGCTGTTGGACGAAAACACCGCAGCACTGAAGTCAATTGAATTAGTGAAGATCAAATAAACGCGATCAATCAAACATCCTACTAAATATTGTATTCCTGAATTTGGTTGATGAATAATTATTGTTATATTCTTTATTTATTATATCTATACTAATATTATAAAGCTGAAGAGTTTGTTTGTTTGTTTGTTTGAACGCGCTAATCTCAGGAACTACTGGTCCGATTTGAAAAATTCTTTCAGTGTTAGATAGCCCATTTATCGAGGAAGGCTATAGGCTATATATCATCACGCTAAGACCAATAGGAGCGGAGCACCAATGAAGAATGTTTCAAAAACGGATAAAATTTATTACTATTGAGAGACGCAGACGAAGTTGCGCGGGTCAGCTAGTCAAATATAAATTATATTTCTAAACACATTAATGATTTATACAAAATTAAAATTACATAGAACATAATTTAAAAAAACATAATTTTTATTTCATCATCATCATCATCAACAGCCTTAAATAGTCCACTGCTGGACATAGGCCTGTATGTCCTTGGAAAGGAGGTTTTGGCCTCCTATACCACGCTGGCCAGACGGATAAGGTTTGTGTTAAGTTTTTCTTCTTTTTGCTCCTGTGTATTTTGCTTCCTTAGTCGGCTCTTACGGCACCTTGGGGATGAATAGGGGTGGTTACACTCTGTATTCTTAATCCGTCACCACACAGACATTATTTTATACCACCACCAATTATTTTATACGCTCATATTATTTACATTTTTAAACAAATAGTACGTTTAATGCAAAATAAAAACAATACATATAAAAATATAAAAAAAACGACGGGTTGCACTCCGGGAGTGCCGGCAGAAGTGAAAACTTGAAGATTAACGTTGTGCATTTTTGATATTTTGGAATGGTTAGGGAATAATTTTGCACGAATTGCTTTAATTATCAGTATAAAAGTACTATCATTCATGTGGTAGAATACAATATTTATTTTTTGCGCTGTCGTACACAAACATGACAATTAATGGAGACGCTGTCTACGCTGACGCTGTATATGTGTATCTCTTAATGATAACCTCCAGTAACCATTTTTATCTTTTAAATATTAAAAAAAAAGGATTATTTACGAATCGATTTTAAACAATATGTTATTAAGCCTTATCTAATTAAATACATTAGATACGTTGTGCATTTAATGTAGATTAAAATTGCTCTTCGCAGCATATCATTAACATGAATATTTTAGAAGATATTACAGGTTTAAAATGCGGAGGCAGAGGCCCGCTCCGTTTTTGCCGGGCCGTACGTTAGTCCCGGCTGGTACCGGCGCCGGCAGGAACGGAGCAGGGATCTACGAGAATAATTATTTATATATTGCATGTAAAGATGTCTTGTAGTATAGTTTTAGTCATAAAGATAAATTGAAATTGTATTAAAACGTCTTTTATGTCTGAAAGCATCTGTGTCATATATTACTATAAGGCAAATTTATTTGAAAATCAAACACAAAAGGCAATTTACAGCAATTAAAAAATTATAAAGAAGTATTATACTGTAATCATTTCCCGCTTTTTCGTTTCTTAAATGTGAACATTTGCGTGCACGATATCACGACTTTATTTTTATTTACACATCGGTGCATTGGCGGACTTAATGCCAGGCAGGCATTCTCTACCAGTCAACCGGAGTCAACCGGAGTCAACCGGTGCGGAGAAACCAGGAAGTAGGTGCATCTTAGTTACAGTTGATTTAGACATTTAATATTGTATATATACTTTGTACAAAATCATATAATAAATACACATATATATATCTGCCATATACTACACCACTGTCATATACTACACCCTAAATGTGGGTTATCTGGATAGGAAACTAGCCTCGAAGATGATGACAGAAGTGCTGTCACTGCTGAAAATGTGTAGATTACTGAAATGCTTATGCGAGATGACCCACTAATTACATACAGGGACATAGGGAAAATCTTAGGCATCAGTTCGGTTAGTGCTCTCACCAAATTACATGAACATCTTAGAATGAGGAAGCTTTTTTGTCGTTGGATACCTCGTTTGCTCTCCGAAATGGAAAAAAAAGCCCGTATGGAATGGGGGCGTGAGATGCGTCGGCGTTTTAAAAATGGAAGGTCTAGACGTGTTTCTGAAATCATTACTGGCGACGAAACATAGTTAAATGTATCTATGTTTCGTCGCCAGTAATGATTGATGAGCCGGAAAGCAAGAAGTGTTCATCGTTATGTGTGTTTCCAGATGGCCAGATGGCAAAATTGCAAAGACATTGACAAAAAAATGGTAGCCAGTTTTTTTTCACGGATGTTCACTCCGTGAAAAAAACGTAATCTCTATCATTGGATAGAGAATTGTAAGTCTGTTAACTCAGAATGGTACTCTACAGTCGCATTGTCAAGCCGAGCCGGGCTCCGGGAAATGACAATGCGTTTTCTGCACACAAGCACAGTAGCCCACACTACATTTTTACTTAATAAATAGCCTGTGCTAAGTTAATCCTAAACATTTTTGTCTTCTATGTAATCCACAATTAAGTAGTAAGCTTAATTTTTTAATTTATTTAACTTTATACACTTTTGTACATCGGCGTACTTAATGCCCAGGGCATTCTATTCCAGTTACCCTTTGGGTGGTGTAGAATCGTGGACCACGTGGCACCCTTTGGACCGTGTTGCTCTATGGGTTCACTACATACATAAACAAATACATACACATATACACACATACAACACAACATTCACAAATACACATAGATACATATGTTCAGGCTTTGAGCCTTTGAGCCTGATGTGAATACATACGCAACTTTTAATGACAATGTATAAAATAGGTATAATATGTCGCGCAGGCGTTACATTATTTTTTTGATTCAATGCTTACATAATGTACAAATGTCACTCTCCTACCAGCTATTGTATAGGAAGCATCATTATTCAAGTAAAAATAATTGTAAACCTTTTTTAAGCTTTTATTTGGCTCCATTATATCCTCTAAAGATATAACAACACATACATATATATACAATTATATCTATGTAGATACATAGACATATTATATTCGTACACAATGAATACCGTAATATGAGGTATACTGAGGCTTTCTGACATAATTTACGTTTTATTGCAGATTTAAGTTTCTTTGTACTTAAGTCTTGTATAATATTTGGTGTTATATTATAAAATAGGACACATTGACCTCGACATGACTTGTTTATCTTTTAGAGCCTAGAGGCCGGTACAACAAGTTTATTCCTATTTCTGGTATTTATAGAATGTAGGTACAACACTTCTTTTCTAAAAGCGATCTTTGTTTTATGAATATTTATAACATTTTCGTATAATATATTGACATGCCATTGTCATTATGCTTATTTCTTTAAATTTCTGCCTCAATGAAAGCCAATTGTCTAAATTATAAACAGCTCGAATTGCTCTCTTCTGTAGTACAACAATAGTTTGAATGTCGGCAGCATTTCCCTACAGCAGCAGAATACGTTTTCTTTTTTAAAGTCGGAGTTTTGATTTGAGATAATACTTTATGTTTTAGTTTGGGTATTTGAATTTGATTATGAATTGCAGGACATTATTTTCTGATCAATTGTTATTGAATCAATTCTATGTACCTTTTGTCAAATAAAATGTTATTATCATCGGGGCGCATGAGTAATCTATTTATAGTAGTACTACGAGTGGCTCCCTCTAATGTTGCGAGGACCTCCATATGTATTATATGATATCCTAAACACGCTAGATGGCGTTAACACGTCATCAACTTTACTTCTGTCTGCAGACTTCTAATTAAAGTTTAAATGTTCACCATTTGTTAGCGTTTGTTCTTAATTGTGTAGACCACATTATAGAGAAATTAGCGGTTCTGTTCTATTGTCGAAGCCGTTATCGCAAATTTATGCGATCCTCGAATTATCAATCTATTTGTTTGTTTAATTATCTGTCCCTTCAAACATTACCGACCATAGATAAAACATTGTTGTGATTCATGGCATGAATTATACAGACTGGTTGTAACTTTAGAGTGATTGCGCCAATAATTCTGTGACTGTAACAGTGTACTAGAAGTTGTGAGATTGTGTTAATTAAATACGGAAGGCCTCGGTGAATGTGTCCGAAATCGGGTGTCTCATATTGTCTCAATACATTACAAGGCAGCGGTGAGCTTATCTCCGGTTAGTACCTGTTGTCTGATTGTTGGAGTACTCGTATAACACAAAGCTCTACAGTGGTCGGCGTGCACTAAACACTTCGAACTGTATTGGAGAAGGAAACTTGTCTAATCAAACAAATGTGTAAAAAGTGAGGTTTCGTTACAATTGCTGTAGCATCTTTTAGGTTATGTTATAGATATGTGACTCATATGAGTAATGATAGATCCGAATGAATGAAAATGATTAGTTTTTGTCACATTGATTTCATATATGATTGTGATTTCGTCATAGACAAAGATAAATGGCATTAAAATCAATCAAAATTATCATTATCAAAGATTACGACCTTTTTTTATTTAGACCTTTCGCGAGTCTTGCGCTAGCTAATAATGAAGTAGCAGTGGTATTGCAAATCAGTCATAATTGTGATGATATATCACATCTTATTGTGATTTCATTTCATCCCTACGAGCTACTGACTGGCCTGTTGGTTTAGTGGCTAGTGACACTGACTGCTAAACCAGAGGGGGTGGGTTCGATTTCCATCTCAGGGCAAATAATTGTGTGATGAGCATTATCGTTTGTTCTGTGTCTGTCTGTAATGTATGTATATGTCCCGTGCCCTGCTCCATCGCCCCAATGCATTCGTGATGATGATATATTTTGGTTGCGTTCACTTAGAAACTTTAGTTATTTACTGTAACAAGGAATTATTGACGTTAGTGTCTGATGTTAATTACAAAAACCGTGAGTTTTTTTTGCACTTTCTTCTCGTAAGGCTCAACCCCTTGGAAACGGGCGGTTGTGGATCGGCACAGGCATATAAGAGATTTTCGATACGTATATATTTATTTTGCCAAATATTTGACAAAACAGAGATTGTTGTTGTTGTGCGTGTTGATCTATGACTTTAGAGTCTACACAGGAGACGATTTCAAACATTTTTTTTATAATATTTTTTTATAAAATAAAGATATTTTGAGTTTGAACTGGACACTCGATACTTCCTTTATTCTCATGGTCTGGTTTTGACAGACACACAAACATTTCGATTCTATAACAGTATTTATGCTCATCTCATCTACAGGTGGAATTGTATTGTATTGTCCAAGGCATGGCGAGGCTGAATGGAGAGTCAAGTGACGCGTCGCTGATCTCAAAGCTCGCCAAACGCCGAGCTGACAGCTCGACACGGACAGTGTGTATGTAACAACGACACGTTTATTGAAATATCCATACAGAACAATAAATGCATATACTTACTTAACCGACGGACCATTACCTGGTGTAACAATATTAATATTTAAGGCTTAGCATCAATATTTAAGATGCCCTAACAGACAATAGCACCACTAGTGAGTTAAATCATGTATCTATCTATGTGTATAAAAGGAGATGTCCTCATTGACTCATATATATACAGATGTACGCACAGCCTAAACCGCTGATGATAGAATCGTTAAATTGAGTTTTGTGTAAAGTGAAAATTTGTTTTGTTATGTGAACGCACTAAGAAGGGATTTTGACAAAGTTTTAATGAAAAATCTTTAATTCTGCATCGATTTACTTCAATTTAAGCCTTTAATAACATTTAAATAAATACGTGTTTAATATACTTGCGTGGTATAGGAGGTCAAAACCTCCTTTCTAAGGAGAGGCCTAAGTCCAGTAGTGGACGCTTAAAGGCTGTTGATGATGGTGATGAGTGTGCGTTACCCCAGCAAAATAAAATCGAAAATGGTCATTTAAACGTTATAGATAATTAGTAGTTGCCCTTCTGTAATTGTTAGGCACATTTTTAAATTTGTTTCACTTAAACTTTTTTAGTTATTTCAAAAAAACATTTCCTGCTGGGTTAACGTTTGAAACGTTACCGCAGCCAGACATTTTCTTTTTTAATTGTTATATTGAAATAAATGTTACCTAAATAATTAGTTATCTGGACTAGGTAAATGTTACAACTTATTTGGTATTTGTATTTTCTTCGGCTGCGAAGTTATTCGAGATCCTGCTGGAGTAACGTTTGTGGGTTTGCTGGATCTCTGAAACGGGCAAGCGGATTGTAACCATCTTTTGTACATAACTTCTTAAGGATTAGTTTTAATTTGTTCGACAATAAAATAACAAAAATAATGGATCGTTTGAAAATTATTTAGGTAAATATGAAAACACTTCAATACGTCCTAACACTTTGAATAAGACCTCTAAAGACTTACTTCAAACGTTATTCTATTGCTTGTAACTACCTTCAAATGTATACGAATTTTCGTAAGTATACTGTAAGTGACTAAAAAAAATCGGTTGTCTGTAAAGTCGGTTTACTGACGATAGTTGAACGTGACAACGTCATAAGAAAATACTGATGGAATGGTTGCATTTTTCAAAAATGTATTATTGTATACGAGTAGCAGCTGTCTACGCGGACGCATCGCTCACTCAAGTAGGAGAGAGACAGATGTCGAACGCTGCCGAACGCGGAGGCCGATTGTGCCTCTTTGTCACTCGTTCCGCGCTCTCGCTTGCACTTCACGCCTTAAATGGAACGCCTCAGAGCGAGGTAACGCCGCATGAGTCATGTTTTTTCGTGCGTGCAGCCGGCTCCATCGAATTATAAGACGTTGTCACGTCAAAAGTTCTGATGAAATGTGGCTCTCCACGTTCACGCTCACAATGTGTGCGGCCTTTTTTGGCCACCGATAAACCTGTGTGTGGATATATAAACTGAATGTTATGCCAATAATTAGTTGTTTAGTTCAGTTGTCTACCTGTAAATTTTCAGCGTCGTACATATAATAATTTACGAGATAATTAAATAATAGTCTTTAGAAGGTGCAAGACCGTGGTAACCCGACCATGTTTAGGTGGTTACAAAAAAGCGATCACCCAGTACATTGTGCTGTCTTTTAAAATGTTTAGTGTAATACACCTTACGATTTCGGTACAGTTGCGTACAGTGTTAAATACATTCAATATTTATTCAATTTATACAAGCAATAGAATAACGTTTGAAGTAAGTCTTTAGAGGTCTTATTCAAAGTGTTAGGACGTATTGAAGTGTTTTCATACTTACCTAAATAATTTTTAAACGGTCCATTATTTTTGTTATTTTATTGTCCAACAAATTAAAACTAATCCTTATGAAGTTATGTACAAAAGATGGTTAGAATCCGCTTACCCGTTTCAGAAATCCAGCAAACCCACAAACGTTACTCCAGCAGGATCTCGAATAACTTCGCAGCATTGAGTTAAAACAACACTAGAGAAGCAAACCTCATTATCACACGTCGAAAAAAGTGTAACCACTTTTGAACTTTGACGACGTAGCTTTGATACCACGAAACATTTGAAAGTAAACATATTTATGTCTCATTTACACGCGAGACAAGAACAATACCATCGCTCGGATTAGACAAAGACAAAGATATAACTTTACGATGGTGGGCCAGTGTTGACTACCGTATGAAATTTTACCCATAACAACCAAGAAACATTTTTTTTTTAAAACAATTTTGTAATAAAATAAATTAATTTAAATATTTTAAATAATATATTTCGAATTGAATGGAATAGGTATAAATAATAAAATAACTAGAAATATTTGGTTAAAAGGGTTTATATTCAGTGTAAAAGCAAACTCCGCTATGAAGCATCAGTTTTGTATACAATTGTCTTTTAGACTCTTTTTTATAAGTTTGTGTGAATATTTTACTTTCATGATACAATCTTATTTTTACCTATGTATAAATAATGGCATTTAATAGTAAAAGTGAATGATCAACTTGTACTGATAATAAATAATCCCCAGGGTGTATTGCAAATTCTTTTAATATTTTAAAATACAAATTAAAAAATTTTTTTTTTTTTTTTTTTTTATTTATATTAATTTACTTTTTTATTTTATATATATATATATTTTTTTTTTGTGCATATATATTTGATAATTAATTAAGAAAAATGAATGAATTAATTAATTAATTCTTTTATACAAAAGTCTCCAGCACTGCGAGCTTGGCAGAAGGTGAACGTTCAACAGGTCCCTAAAAAAAGTGATCGATTCAGCCCTAACAACTACTGTTCTTCCTATATTTTATTATTATTGACAAAATGTTTAAAAACAGTATAAAGCATATTATTTCATAAATTATAAATTCTCCCACTAATGTGGGAAAACAAAAATGATTTTTTAATGGTTACACTGATTCTAAATTACAATTATCAATGTTTTATTTCAATTATAGCCTTATTTACGATATTATCAATACAAAAACCATAAACTTACACGTGATAAGTAATTCCGCATGATTTATTATGGTTTTGTGACCTTCAATCGCATTCTTTCACTACGCATTTACCCATTTTGGCGATTGTTACTGTCATGTGTCGCTATGTTCAACTCGGTTGACGCCACATTGAACACTGAATTGACGTTTGCTACGCATATGCCTGTGGACAGATGTGCAGTAGCAACGATTTTAGGCGGTAATTACTCATCTATGTAAGTATTATATCAATGCTTCGCAGCCGAAAAAAATACAAATACCAAATAAGTTGTAACATTTACCTAGTCCAGATAACTAATTATTTAGCTAACATTTATTTCAATATTACAATTAAAAAAGAAAATGTCTGGCTGCGGTAACGTTTCAAACGTTATACCAGCAGGAAATGTTTTTTTGAAATAACTAAAAAAGTTTAAGTGAAACAAATTTAAAAATGTGCCTAACAATTACAGAAGGGCAGCAACTAATTATCTATAACGTTTAAATGACCATTTTCGACATAATTTTGCTGGGGTAACGCACACTGGTGATGAAAGACGTGTTTTAGCTTTGGTAGAAACTGACTCTAATGCTATCACAGAAATTCGGTTCTCTTTATCACCCCACTCCATTTTAATTTCACAAAAATATTTAACACCGGTTGGCGCGAAAATGAGAAAACGATATCTCGCTAGTCATATCTTTTACAAACAATACTAATGTTTAAATCAATTAAACGGCATTTTAAACACATTAAACATTAAATTAACACTGAAGAAACATTAAATTAATTTAAAGAAACTCGCACAGATCATAACTAATAATTGCATCACGCAGAGAAACTCTGGGCATTGCCCTCTCCATAGATCTTTAGATAACTTAGAGCCTTCTTATGTGGTCCATTGTGAGCGACTACGTCTCTGTGCCACAGGCATCATCACTGCCAACACACACTGATCAAAACCTTTCATTTTGAGACAATGTGGTATTCTTAATTAATTGTGATAATCTATTTGGACTTCTCTTTAACTTTCAGGAACCCTCAGAGCCCTAGTGTACATTGTACATTCTGTCAGCGTGGACAGGCACCGGTGACCCTGCGTGCAGACTAGTCATGGAGTACCAAAAGCGGCCCGGTACATCAGGCATCTACGGTCAGCTCTATGAAACTAAACTCCTGGCCCTAATTCTGTTCAGATTGCAACACGACCGAACAGTTGAATACTTTTATTTAGCAACAAACATCAACGACGTAGGTGACTTCGATGACATCTGTCTCGTCGTGAAGATAGAAGGATGTGATCGACCCGTCGCGGTTTTCATTCAAGTAAAACACAAAATAGACGATAAGGCGGTTATAAAGATCGGCAAGAAAGAAATAGTCAAATACGTTACCAGTTTCATAAAAATTACAAAACGATTCGCGTCACGGCCACGGGATGACTTTTTCGATCCAAATCTCAATGAAACAGACTGTATATTCATTCTATACACTAATGCTAAATTAACTATCACAAATACAGAATCTAAATTTGAAAATAGTTATGCCACAGTATTAAACAATTTGTTGGCGACAAGCGATGCAATTGGTTGTCGGGCGCAAGAATCGGACCAAGTTGTTGAAGATTTCGGAGAATATTTTCTGAAAAATGACCTCGCCCTGTTGGCGAAACACTTTGTTGTGTTTTTGGTTGATAAAGGTAACGATAGATCAATGGACATTATGAACGATATGTATGTACAGCAGTATCACGTCATCTTGAGGGAAAAAGTTGTTGATGTCAGCGGCATTCGAACAGATGAACATGAACTGGACTTAAAGTGGCGGACTTTGACATTTAAACGAGACTTTTTCTCAACTAACGACAAATACGTATTGATTTTCAAGAACCATTTACTTAAAGAGCTGCTCAAGAATCAACGCGAAATACTGTTCCTGAATTTCCAGAAACCAATCCTATCATTAGATGAAACCATATCACTTTTCTTGAATGCCCCATCAGCTGCGACACTAATGCCTCTTATCATAACGTATATTAATTGTAATGAAGCTGGTGAACTAGAATTTCTCATTAAAAGGCCTTCTCATGATGTCAAGCTGTTACAGCAAACTAATATGTCTCGAAAGGAAATAGACGAAGCAATAGTTGCAGCTGAAACGAGTGCGATGGAATACTTATTGTCGTTAAAGCTAAAAGTTCCTGTTACATTCGGTAATGTAGATTTAGCGATTCGAGGTAGTGACAAGAAAGTAAATAGGAGGTTGAAGTATTTAGCGACGGCCGTTTGTGGTTTATGCAAAGAATATCAACTACATGACCAGTATAAAATTGTCAAAATTGAAGAACATTTATACGATGGGCTCTTAAAACATAACGGAGGTTTGGCTAGCGCTGTCGGTAATATGTTAACTTATGATGGGACAACAAACATGATGATGTTTTCCAATAACTTTACGTCCGAACAGAAGATTGCAGAACAATTATCTCTCAATCTAAACAATCTAATCGATGGCATATTTGAATATAGGTTTGTCGTAAAAACTAAGAGGTTTCCGAAACTTAACTTCGATTGCACCGACACAGCCAGAGAGTTTCTAAATAAACTAATCATCTACGAAACACAAAGTAACCATTGGAAGGTTGAGGAAATTTTAAAAGAAAAAATTCAGGAACATCTCGTAACCGATTTACGGGATTATGTAATGAACTGTAGTAATAAAGGTGTATCAGTGTTCTTGCATTACCACGACGAAATACGCAAGTGGTGGATGTCACCGACAACTGGCACGTATCTGAACAAAACGACCAACTTGTACGAACAAGCAATATGTAATATGCAAGCAGAACCACTCATCAGTGATTTACAGACAACTTTTTATATAAGTAGGGCAAAATATTTTAAAATCAGTTTTACTAAAAATGCCATGAAATTTACGGAACTATCAGAACTACCCTCTAAACTGTTCGTAACTACAGATACAGTTGCACTGACGACTGTGAAAGTGGTTCAGTGTTTAAAAAGCTATTTCTTGATCAACAAATTCGCAGTGTTAGATGTTGAATTTGTGTTGAATATGCCCATTGCAGACTTTGACAGATTGAATGAGGAGATAAGAATGACAGAGAGAGTGCTAATTATTATGTGGCATAAAACCCAGAATTATGGTGAATTAGATTATAATAGATTGTCTACATTTGCACTAGCAACTGAAGATAAACAATCAGTTGTTATAATAAACAGCGAGTTAAGGGAAATAATAAAAAAGTTTTTCAGAGCACGAGATGTGTTTTTTCATGATACGGAAACTCTGTCGAATATAGAATCAGAAAAAGAGATACTGAAACAGGCAAAAGTAGTATTTCAAGGCCAAAAAGTCACTTTAGATAAAATATTAGACGACGAGTCAGTATCATTCGTCAGAGGTGTCATACTTGATACAGTAATACGCAATGAAACTATAAATATTGGTGAACCTCTCAGTAATGTACAATATGAAAAAGACAAGGATTTCTATGTGGACAGGAGTGTTCGCCGCCGTGATAAAACGGATGACTACATTGATGATAACGCTTCCAGTAATCATAAATACATTAATAATGAAACTGTATTTAATGTCAATACATATTTCGATATACCAAGCGATGTGGTGCTTCTAACAGCCGCACCAGGTATGGGCAAATCGACCCTACTCACCCACGTGTCACTTAACACCATGAAGCATGATGATAAAATTTGGATAGTTAGAGTAGACCTGAGAGATTACTCTAACGAGTTTAACGAATGGAAGGAATGTAAAGTAGTGGTTGATGCTTTGAAAGCTTTGAACTTATTGTGTCAAGATGTATTAAGAAATAATACGATATCGTTTAATATCAAAATAACAGGCGGTGAAGCCTATCTAGTGAGCTGTATAGACAACAAATTGGCTCATTTTGAATTGAGCATTTTCTTGCACTTTTATAATCAAAGGAGAGTGATATTCGTATTTGACGGTTTTGATGAAATCTTTTGCTACAAGCATAAAGTTCTAAGTTTTCTTTCTGTGGTCAAAGATGATCTTCGGAAATGCAAAATGTGGGTAACTAGTAGACCGTACAGTGACATCCTGCCGGATCTAGAAACAGTTTTAGGTAGAAGCTTTCAATTAAACCATTTATCTTTTACCGAGCAGGAAATTTATTTAACACGATTCTGGAATCATAAAATATTATTACAGAAACCAAGTGAGGAACAACTCAAAATTTTACGAACATTCTTAGACAACACAAGAGAGTCTATATCTAAGGAACCAAATTGGGTTCGTATAATCTATAGTGTTTTTGTAAGTACTGTTGGACCATTGGTTTTTCCAACAATGTCCGATGCTGAGAAAGATGAATTAAACAAAATATTGAATTTTGCTCGGACGATACATCCGAGGCAGAAAGACAATGTTGTCTTTGAGTTATCAGGAATTCCGTTGCTTTTATATTTCCTGGCTGATTATTTTGTAAATATAGTATATTGTGCCACAAATCGCAATAAAGCTATTTTAGAATTTAACCTCCATAATATTTATGAAATGTTTATAGACAATAAACTTAAACTAAATCTTTTCAAAGATAAAATTAAAGGTCTAACATTAACAATAATAAGGGAACCGTTGGAAAAAGAACTTCAGGACATCATAAGTATTCACAAAAAACTGGCTGCATATACTTTCTACCAAGATCGCATTCTTCAGATGGGTCTCGAAGAACTCAAAGATATGAAGCCATTAAACGAACAAGAGTGGTATACTGAGCTGAATAAAATCAAAAGAAGTTCAGAAATGATAAGTCTAATATCACACGTAAATGCGTTCAATGAGCTGGTGTTTATAAATGGTTCCTTGGCAGAATATTTCATTGCTGAGTACGTTTGTGATATAATAAAAAGCGATAAGTTTAAGTTATTTCAAAAAGTTCTTTGGTATTGTGCCATAAGTCAAGTTCGTTATACGGCTATCGGAGACTTGATCGAAAGGAAAAAGGAAGCAGACCCAGAACTTCGAAACGCATTTCTAGAAATGGAGAAAACTTCACCAATATATAAAACTGAATATCGTGCATATTTGAAAAGAGAAAGCATATCGCAGCACCAGTACATCAGAATATTAGCTTCGTCAATTAACGATTATGAAGATGGGTGTTTCACTGAATATGCGGAAAAGTTTAAAATGAATGACTTTAATAAGTTAAAAAATAACGTTAAATGTGGACTAATTGAATATTTTACTAATTATCTTGTCTGTAAAATGAAGCCTCAGCTCAAACAACATTTTGGAGGAACACCTTTGTTTTATTATCGAGGTCCCGACTCTAGCTTTGTTAGATATTTTAACTCAGTCAAAAGTATGGATGAAATCGACGGGATCCTCCTCGAGCTAAAAGTAAGTAGACAAAAGCGATTTCTCCCTCTCTTGATGCTCCTTACTCCCCAAGATCATTGTGGTACCTCCCAATTATCAAATATTGAGAGTATGAGTAAGAACTGCCAGAAGCGTCCTACAGATGACATTATTCAAACAGATTTTGTATATTTACTGTTGAACCCTGGTTACCCTGGAACCCTAAGCCATACAAGTGACCCAAGTTTTTCAAGTGAAATATTTAATTTCTTAAGCACTACGAGCACAATTGGTAATCGGTTGCATTACACCGAAGAAAATGTACAAGAAATCGCAGAAAAAATTATAGAAAAAGAGCTAATCGAGTTAGCTAGAGTTCTTGAAACTTTTTTAGAGCCAACGATAAAAATATCAAAAGATATGAGTTTCTATGAGTACGTGGAAAGATATCATGTTTTTCTAAGGCAACATGTGTTTGACGTCACCGATATTCAAACAGATGAAAGTGATTCTGAAGTCAAATGGCGGACTGTTACATTTCGAGACGAGTTCTTCGACACTAAAGACATACATATTGAGTTTTTGAGAAATTGTTTGTTGGAACAAATGCTCCGTAAAAAGATGCATTTTTTTTTGAAAAGTGAATTTTGGCCAAATCAACTGATATCATTTTTCTTTTCTGAACCGTCTGTTGCTACATTAACCCTTTTGCTTGGTGCTTGTGTTGTCGACTGTGAAGATAATAAGTTGAAGTTCCTTGTTGAGCGACCTGGCAGTGACGTAGAACAGTTGCGAAATATTAACATTCCACAGTCCACGATCAACGAAGCGAAGCTCGCAGTCAGGACAGCCACTGTGATATACTTGCGCTCTCTACACCAGAGAGAACCTATTGATTTTGGTAATATTGATTTACCATCTCAAAGTTTAAACGATCATCCTCCTAGAGATGTTGAGATGAATAGTGAAACCTTGAAGAGCGCTATTGTAAAATTGTGTGAACAAAGCACACCACGTAAATTGGTCACGGTCGATGACTCTCTCGACGAGTCATTGTTGACAGCCTTGGCCAATTGCGTTGGCAACATTCTTATTTGCGATGAGGAAACAGAGATGCTCAAGGTTCAATATTTGGATCAACTCACACCAGCTCAGGAGAACGCTAAATCTTTATACCTTCAACTATCTCGTGAAATCGACAATCTGCATGAGTATAGGTTTCATGTAAGAACTGACAAAATACCCAAATGTCAACTCGATTTTAAGAATTTTGCCAGAGACTTTTTAAAGAGGCTGATAATTTTTGCCGAAGAAAGTATCGATTACGAGATTGAGAAAATTGTTTTTAAAAAGTTTAGGATTGGCCCCTATATAAAATTTTATGACAGTTTTATCACACTAAACTTGGTGCGTCTGCATATCCACAGTCAAGTACTAAAGTGGTGGAAGGCATCAAACTCAGGCGAATATGACACCAAACCGTGCGATTTGTATCAACTAGCATCGAAAAATGTTAATTTGGAACCGGCAATAAGTGAAATGCATGCTTCATTTTATTTTAAAAACTTAAAGTATTTTAAATACATGTTTAATGAAAATGTTACAAAATCAAAATATATAGAACTAGGAGTAGGTTCTAAACTGGTGGTGGTCACAGAAACGGTTATCTTGACAACTATAAAAGTACTACAGAGTTTAAAGAGCCGTGGCTTCAATAACGAGTTCACGGTCCTGGACTTAGAGCACATGCAGAGCACGTTCCCAAACATGACAGACCTCTCATTGTTCGAAGAGTTAAGGATCACTACAAAAGTTCTGATTGTGGTGTGGACACAGATGTACGACGATGATATATTGCACGAGCTTTCACAATTATTCAAGCACAAACGTATGGTAATTATAGCAAACAACGAGTTCAGAGCAAGGGTCGAATCATGTGGTGAGTGGTTGGATGTTGTGTTCTATAACGAAGTAGAGAGTTTGGCCTTAATACAGTCACACAAGGAGATAATGAGAGATACAAAAGTAATATTTCAAGGCCGAAACGTCACTTTAGATGAAATTATTGACGACGAGTCTGTTACATATGTTAAAGGCGATGTGTTGGACAAGGTGATAAGTAATGACATCTTACACATCGGCAAACCCTTCAGCAATCCACAGTACAATGAACTTAAAGAATCTTTGGTCGACAGCAGAGTAAGTTCAGTTCTGAGAGCCGATGATGAGTACCAATTTCCTATTGAAAATAAGATAATCAGAAAGTTTCACGATATCGTAGATGATGTAGTGCTGGTAACAGATCCAACGAGAATAGACAAGTCGGCATTAATCACTCACCTAGCGCTTAAAACAGAAGAGCACGATGGGAAACTTTGGATAGTCAGAGTCAACTTTCCAGATCACGTAGAACAATTTGACAGATGGCAGGATGAAGACACAGCCGTGGATGATTTGGAATCATTAAAGTTTCTGTGCCAAGTTACAATGAACTATAAATTGACATCGTTTGATGTAGCACTCACAAAAGACAAAGCGCAAGTAGTGAGTTGTGTGGGCGATGCTGTAGCTGCTTTTGAACTAAACTTATTCGTACGTTTCTATAATGAGAGAAGAGTAATATTTGTATTTGACGCAGTTGACGAAGTCGGTCCTTATTGCAGAGACAAGGTTGTCACGTTCCTGACAGTTGTTAGTACTCGTCTTCGTAAAAGCAAAATGTGGGTAACCTGCAGATCGCTCAGTGATATCCTGCCAGAGCTGGAGAGAGTCTTAGGGGAAGGCTTCGCAATTATAAGTTGTAACGACTAAGAGGAAGATAGTAAAAATTTCTTCAAAATTTAACGATGTTAGTGGTGTACTGTATCTATTGCGAGTCAACCATGTGAACTATCTCACTGCTAAAGTTTGCCACTGAGGCGTAAACTTAATGTTATTAAACAATATGTTATGCTGATCTTATAATATATTGATTTAAAGTACTACAGTCATTTTCACTTTATATATTTTCCGTAATTCGTTTTCGATATTTGTGCACTGTTGCAAGCACCGTGATCACGGATGAACGTCTCGAGTCTCGAACGTGTCGAGGTCTCGAGTTCGGTTCCCGGGTCGATCCAAATATTTGTAACACCAAAAGCCTTTAACAGTCCACGGCTGGAAATAGGGGTCTCTTTAGAAAGGAGATTTTGGCCTACTATACCAGACGGGTTGGTATAGAGTTTGTTTCAAGTTCGCATCGTCCGGCACCTCTGCGAGGTTGGCCCCGATCTGTCGGACGCCCAATTCGGTTTCCGGGAGGTTCGTTCGACGATCGATGCCGTAATGCGCCTTAGGGCCGCGACCGAGGAGGTTGGCGGTGTCCTTGGACATCGCCAACGCCTTCAAGAGTCTGCCATTCAGCTGCATCAGGGAAGCGCTTTGCTACCACGGAGTGCCAGAGTACCTGAGGCGGCTAGTGGCAGACTATCTTGAGGAGCGAACCGTCATGTACGAGGACCGTTGAGACGCAGGGCCATGTCGTGCGGTGTTCCGCAGGAGTCTGTCCTAGGACCACTCCTGTGGAACACTGGATACGATTGGGCCCTACGAGGGCGTCTCCCTCCCGGGCTGGGTGTAATCTGCTACGCAGATGACGTTTTAGTCACGGCCCGGGGGGCTAACTTCCAGGAGGCGGCGCGCCTGGCCGCCACGGGAGTTTCCCAGGTGATCGGGCGCATTGAGGCGTTGGGATTACGTCCGGGCCCAGATGAGGTACCTGGGTCTGGTCCTGGACGGTAGGTGGCTCTCCGACGAGCACTTCCGACAGCTTGGTCCGAAGTTGGTGGACACTGCCTCCGCCCTAGGGCGACTTTTGCCCAACTTGGGCGGGGCCAGTGTTCCCACGAGGCGGCTGTACGCGGGGGTTATCCGGTCCATCATGATGATCCGGGGGTTACCCAAATGTCCTGCTGGTAGTAGTGTCATGCTTCGGGTCGTTGATCTTGACCAATATCGGTTAGGCTACAAGATGGCTGAAGCCTGTATGCCGTCTGTATGGACAGGCCGTGGAGGCTCTCCAGCCGGTGATCGCCGAGTGGGCAGGGCGGGCTTCGGAAAGTATCTGTACTCGGTCGCTAGGAGGGAATCGAGTCCCGCCTGCCACCACTGCGACTGCAGTGAGGATTCGGCCCAGCACACGCTGGCGGTTTGCCGCTCCGGATTGCGGTCGCAATCTTCTGCGAGGAAGTAATCTCGCAGAAGGAGGCGGCAGAGAAGGCCCGGGAGGACGACCTTCACTCGGACCCGATCCGCCGCCAGCGAACCGGGCGGCGGAGGCGCGCTTACCCGCGCCTCATGCCGCCCTGAGTGTGGCCGCGGGTGGACGGGATGGGTTCTCCCCTCCGCATTAGTTTGGCCAGCCGCGAGGGGGCTGCGTCCGCGTGTGCCGGACGTCGCCTAAAAAGAGAGGTCCTGGAGACGGAGCCCGCACCAGGAGCGGGCCGGCGCTGGGAGGGGTCCAGAAGGCGATAACTACCTGGACCCCTCCTAAACTGGAAGCGCAAGGAGGGCACACCGTGTGGTTTTAGTCGGTTCGAGTCCGACAGACCGCCCCGCCGAACAAGAGCCCTTGCGGGGTGACGGTCCGAGGGGATTTCCACACGTAAAAAAAAAAAAAAGGTTAGGTTAGGTTAGCTTTTTTTTTTTTTTTTTACCTGGTGGAATGCATTTACGCACTTCGCTCCCCCCCCCGCGGGGGCAGGGGGTTCGCTTCGTGTGGGACTCCTGACGGGCCAGACTACCCACTAAACCACCACGGTGTTCCTCCTTCGCCTAATCCGAGCCACGGGATAGTTTGCTCACCGCGACTCGGCTAGGGACGCCCTGTTGAACGGGCTCACCTCTCTCGAGGCGCCACCATCCGGGCAAATACCGTGCCCAGATGGTGGGGCCTGTCCTCCTCATGAATGCACCCCAGGAACACAGAGGGGCGCATTCCGCCACATTAGTATGGGGCGGCGGGTCCCCCGACCCACCGCCCGTGGCCACTCTCATTCGGGGACGCGGGCGAATCGTGCTCGCCGGCGTCCCCTCGCCGGGGGTCTGCGGGGCGGGAGTGTGAGACCAGTTCGCTCCCGCAGAGCCTCTCTCTTGGCCGCCATCACCTCGCTAGCGAACGAGGCGACGGCAGCCCAACACTGTTCGCTGCCGGCCATAGTTGGAATTACGGCCGCACCAACGGTGCTCGTGAGGGCCGTCCTTTGTTCGTCCCACGCCTCACACACGGCCATGGTATGATACGCCGTGTCAGGGTCGCCGCTGGTGCAGTTGCGGCACCGGGGCTCCGACTCCACCCCGACCACCTCCCACAGGTACTTGGCAAAACAGCCATGACCCGTGAGGAGTTGGGTGAGGTGGTATGTCGGAGCCCCATGACCCCTCTCCACCAGGACGGGCCGAACGGCCCCCACGAGCACCGACCCGCTACGGGTCGCCTCTAACCTCTCGGCCCATTTCCGGAAGAGATCATTGCGAGCTGCCTGTCTCCAGCGATCGATCTCCTCCGGAAGCGGCCGACCTCCAAGTACACGCCGCATCAGGGCGCCCTCGACGTACACTCTCTTGAGGACGCAGGCCTCGAGATCCCAGGGAATGCTGCCCGCAATCAGACATGCCGCCTCGTAGGAGACGGTGTGGTACGCCCGTGCAGCCCGCTGCGCGATGGCGCGCTGCGGACGCCGCAGCAGCGCGATATTCGCCGGGCTGAGGGCTTCCGCCCATATGGGCGCTCCGTAGAACACCACTCCGTCATAGAGACGGCGGCAGGCAGACCCCGGGCCTCCGCTGTTGGGCAGCAGACGCGAGAGCATTCCGGCAAATGCCAGCAGCTTCGGTGCCAATTGCCGGAAATGCTCTGTAAACCGCCAACGACTGTCGAGAACGAGCCCGAGATATTTCAGGCTGTTCCCCAAAGCGATGGGGATGCCGCCCACCACAATCGACCTATCTCGAGGCGGTGTCTGCCGAGGCCCGTGGAAGAAGACGGCCTCAGACTTCCCCAGGGCCACTGTTAAGCCGAGCGCCCCGATGCGACGCACTACATGAGCGACGCCTGCCGTGGCGAGTACGGCGGCGTCGCGGAATGTTGGGGCCCGCGCGGTGACTAGGGTATCGTCGGCGTAACAGAGAGTTTGGATTTTAGCTATTTCTGTTTTTGTTATGTTATTGTCTGTGCTTAATTATTTAAATTTCTCATGAAATTTAACCCAATTTGCTTTTTTCGTGTTGAAAATTCTGGTTGGTCTGTTTGTTGTGATGTGTTTTGGTTTTTTGAGATAAATGTTAAATGTAATGCCGTTGTGGTCAGAGCTCGTGAGGCCTTCTTTGACCTCCCAATCGTCCACCACATTAAAGATGTCAGCGGAACAGATTGTTAGGTCCACGAAGCTGGTGTAACGTTTTCCGCCCCTCACAGTGTCAAATGTAGGAGTTTCCCCTCTGTTGAGAATATGTAGGCCTAGCTCATTCAGCAACCCGGAGAGCTCGTCTCCTGTTCTGTCAATTGTGGGGCTTCCCCACCAGGAGCTCTTCGCGTTAGCGTCACCTCCAGCGACCCACCTAGTTTTAAATTTGGTGGCTATTTTTCTAATGTGCTCCAGGTATGGCAGGATTGGTTGGTCCGGTTCAAAATAAAATGAGATGAGTGTCACCTCCCAGATATCCGCTTTTATTCCCAGTACAACGATGTTGTTGGTAGTAAGGTTTGGGTACTGTTTGACTCTCAAGTCTGGGTCAAAGACTGCGATGGCCGCCTTTACAGTACCCTCGCCGCGATTGGTGTTCTGGTACACCCGCACCCCCCGGTGACTCCTCATCTCCTTGGCACTACCTACGTAAGGTTCCTGGAGCAGTGCAACTTTAGTTCCCCTCTTCCCCGCTTCGAGTAATATATCGTTTGTGGCTAGTTTATTTCGCTGGAGGTTCGCTCGGATTACGCGGTAGTGGATTTGGCTGCCCTCGGCGCCCTTAGCAATATGCTACTGCCGACCGGGCTAGTCTATCCCACTTTCGTCTGATTGGGCACTCTGGGTCAAAGGCGTTGTGTTGGTTCTTGTCTAGTTGCGCTTTTGTGCAGTTCCGGCAGCTCGGGACTTCGCCAGCATGGCGGTCAGCACAGTCCTTACCCAGATGTGGACCCCCGCAGTGGCTGCACAGGTCGGCTGTTTCTTTACAGAAGCGCTTTCCATGTCCATAGCCTAGGCAGCGAGTGCACTGGACCAATGGTGATTGGTCCTCCACCCGGACTCGCTGTAGGTCTATACGAAGTGATCCGGCCTTCAGGGTTTTCCCCCAGATGGCGGGTGATACGCTCACCACTATGTGGCAAGTGAGGGGGTTCCTGGCTCTCCTTCTATATTTTTATTTATTTATTTATTTATTTATTTATTTATTTTCTTTAAAAACAACTATTTTTACAGGCTTAGCCCAATGCAATAGTGTTATACCATCTACTTATTTATTATAAGAAATAATTCTTAATGCTGTTATTGTGAATTCACTCAGTGAGCAATAAAATAAATCTACTTCATCCGCAATTATATTCAGAGTACGTAGTGCGCGCGTCAGCGGTGCTTCTCTCTGCAGGTTGGTGCGCCCGCACGGGACAGCCAGCAGCGGCGGCCGGCGGCGCCGCCACACGTATCTGTCCGGAACACATATGCTGACTCGTCCTAACACGTCTTCATTATGTATCCCACCCCTAAGTACCCTAAACAGGTACGAGACGAGTGTGAGTTCCCTTCTGACCCTCAGTTCATTGTATCCCACCATAC